GAAGCGGGATCCTTCTTTTGGTCCCTTATATATCTGTTGATGTCTTCATGGTGGTGTGATCGGTGTTAAGTTGTATTTGTGTGCGTGTTGGTGCATGGTGTAGTGATGTGGAATGTATGGTATGTAGGTGTGGAATGTGTGGTGTGAATTGGTGTAGTGTGACAGTGTCTTACGGTGAGGGGGGATTGAGTGGTCATTTAGCCAATACTTAAAGTTTGAAGTTGTTTTATACTAAAAAATTTCGAAACAATTAATAAATGTGTAAAAAATACATATAATTAGCCTTAGCATAAATTCTGTTACAAAATTTACAACGCCCAGAGCGAAGACAAATTCGAAGAAAAAGTGCCTATATTCTTATACTTTTTGCACTTTTGCTACGAAGAAGATGAAAAAGTGCCTATATTTTTATACTTGTGCACCATCGAGGTAGATATTGGGTTATATATATGTATATTAGGTTGGAGCGAAGAACAAAATTACTTTCAAATTTGTAGATTATAAAAAAAAAATTTTTTGGGGTGATTATTGGATTGGATTAAATTTTGAGTTAAAACCCGTTATATTCGGTAATTTTTATATAAATTTGAAGAGCTTAACCAATAAAAACTTGTTTTTGTCGAAAAAATTTAGACTACAAATTTACTTTAAAAGTGAGATGATGTTAAAATTTTTTTATTTTTTTCCCAAAAATTTTCTTTTTTTATAATCCACAAATTTTACCCTCAGGCTAAGGCTGTTTTTTCGCTCGACCCTATTGTATATATGGTAAATGACCCGGATAACGAGACGAGTTGAAATCCGGTGTCTGCCTGTCCGTTCGTCGGTGCAAGCTGTAACTTTAGTAAAATTTAAATATCTTGATAAGCCTACTGCATCCTGAAAATAATTAACGTGTGAAACAGAAAGCGCATCCAATTTTTACTGCTTTTAGTAAATTAGGCGTTTATAAAACCTCTATTGTATTCTTAAGTACATTCTTTTTACACAAGGTGTGCTGCTAAAAACAGTTCAGTTAATATCAGGTGAAAGGTATGATGATACAAAAAAACCACTTGAAGCAGTCGCCGTCTATGCAAGCTGTAACTTGAGTAAAAATTTAAATATGTTGATAAAAGTTCGTACACATGTCACTGTAAAATGGTTGGTATTGCAACGCTATTAGACGAAAACTTATATAAAGTGCTATAACTAAGCTCCGCAATAAAATACAAGACTGCTCTTTTGTACAACGTATTGAATTAGGGAAGGGCATCTGTAATTAAAACGTTTTTTTTGGAAAAATTCAGTCTAATAGGTTTAATGTAGAAAAACTAAAACACATAACTACAAAAGCTATAAATACCAACAACTTAAACGGGCGCACAACAGCACAAGGAGATAGCCAGCTGGAGCACAGGAATTGGCACAAACCGCCCAAGCATATATACATACATTACACCATGCAACAGGAGCGTATTAATTTCATTACCTCAATTTATTATTATGCACATGTAAATATTACAGTTTTATATATTACAATATTAAACTTGTAATAACAAATCCGTTTAACAATTATATACGGTTATTAAACTGTATTTTTCAGATTCGAAAACAGTTTGGTATAATATATACACAACTATATATACAATCAAGTACATAATCAATTAATACCTATATCCTTACCTTTTTAATTTGCAAAAACACTTAACATTCTAACAAAATAAAAATTAAAGTATTGAAACTTGATACCTTTTCCAGCAATACCTCTTATGCTTAATAAAGCCATATGCAAGATTGCTTAAAATAAGTAACCAAAGGCAAAATATTAGAAGAAGAAAAAACAAAACAAAGACCACTATACCTACATATGTANATACATACCAAAACATATTGTCATAGTGCATAATATACATATGTATAGAAATATAATACTATATAAAATCTTTATCGTAAACAAGTAAAAAAGGGCAAAGTTCGGATGTAACCGGACATTTTATACTCTCGCAAAGTCACACGGTGTACTTGTTTGCGATTTCTTTGTATATATTGCTTGTTTTGCATAGCGGAAAGTGAAAGAATCAAATTCAATTTAATATGGTGTTATATGGAAAATAGGCGTGGATAAAATCCGATTTCGCCAATTTTCGCACTGTAACATAGAAATATAAGAAGAATATTATGTACTGAATTTGGTTGAAATCAGTCACACAGTTCCCAAGATATGGGTTTTCCCCTAAAAGTGGACGATTCCACGCTCACTGTCTAATTTTGAACGCGGTTTCTATAAAGTCATCCCATACCATCCCTGAGATAAAATTTACTGTCTCTGGCGTGTTTAGTGCTTGATTTATCGCGCTTTTATTAGTTTTTAATAGTACCGTTACATCGAGAGTGGGTGGAGTTGCCACCCTATTTCACCTATTTTCATACTGTCGATAGATGTGCTAAAAATATTTGCTCTCAGTGAATTTGGTTATTATAGCTTAAGCGGTTTAGGAGATATGTACATTAAATCTATTAGGAGGCGGGACAACGCTCACTTTAAAAAAAAATTTAAACTGCAGATGCCCCTCTATACCAAAAAAAGGTCTTGTATCTTATTGTGGATCTTAGTTATGGAAATTTATTTGTTTTTGAATAATGGAACATGTGTACCAAGTTTCATTAAAATATCTCAATTTTTACTCAGGTTACAGCTTGCACAGACGGACGGTAGGACAGACGCTTCCGGATTTCAACTCGTGGCCTGATCTGTCCTCTCTTCATCCTGATCATTTATATATATATAACCCTATATCTAACTCGATTAGTTTTAGGTGATACAAACAACCGTTAAGTAAACAAAACGTTTATACTCTGTAGCAAAGTATAAAAAGTAAGTATACTTCCGAAAGTATAAAAATTTACATACCTATATACATAAATAAGTGCATGCGGGAAATACCTGCTATTCAGATTTCATTTTGCGGTCTGCTCGCATTAAGAACATCAATACGAATATTTACATACAAACATACGGCATAAAATTTTGCCTATTGATTCTTACTATTACTCTATTATTAGGTTATTAAAATTTCATATAACCTTTAAAAAGTTACCTTAAAGTTCCCATATTCATAATTAAACGGCGGTAAAGTGAATACGAATTCACTATATTACATTGACATATATCCCGCAATACACAATACAATACAATTACACACAGACTCTTCAACCCAAACCGGTTTTTTGTGGGCGAGGGGACGACGAGGAAAGACGAAAGGACCGTGCCATTCGTGTTCGTATTCTTGTTCGTAACAGCTCGCTGCTACCCTTTTCAGCATTCTTTTCACTTTCAAACGGTTGCAAGAACGCTCGGTTTCAAATGAATCTATACGATTCGTTCACAAATTTGAATTATGTTATCTACTTTTTATATGTATGTATAGAATAAATAAATATTTTGAAAAATTGTAAATAAGGATAAAAATAAGATACTCAAAAATATTTTTTTGAACCGCGTACATAGTTGCAGTTGTTTGGAAGTTGTGTCGTTAAACAGACGGTATTTCGGAACTAAATTTTTTTTTGTGATTTTTTCAATTAAAAAATGCTGACTGTGATGATGTGGATGACTGTGAAAAAAAGACATATGTGAAGGTTTGTTGAAACTTTTATTTAAAAATTTGATATTAAAGAAAATTTATTTCTTAAATGGTAGATCTATTTGATATGTTCGATAAAGTGACAGAAATGCCTATAAAGAAAAAGAAAAGGCAATGGGTAAAGGTATGGAGAGAAAAAAGATCAGTAAACGGTTCGCATTCATTTTTAATAAAGGAACTACTCTCGTTCGATAAAAATGAGTATAAAAATTACAATATATAAGAATGTCAGAAAATCAATTTAGTTTTATACTCTCGCAGTAAATTAAGATTTATTAAAACAGGATACTAGGATGCGTGCAGTAATTTCTTCAGCGGAAAAACTATCGCTGACTCCACGTTTTCTAGACACAGGTAATTTAGCTTGAAACTTTGTTGTTACACAATTGGCGTAATCAAAAATTAAAGGAATTCAATTATTGTACATATTTTATAGGATTTGAAGGTTTTTTATAGACTAAATAATTACATATATATATTTTTTTTTAGTTTCCAAGCAGTTCTTCCGAGTGGGTTTCTATAGCCAGTGAATTTGCGATAAGATGGCAATTTCCAAATTGTCTAGGCACATAACCTTTAGGCCGTCGCGAAAAGATGGATCGTTTTATTACAACTATAAAGGCACAAATAGCATAATTTTTATTTTTGTGGATATAGGTTGTAACGGCCGATGTAACGATGCAGGAGTGTTCTTGTAAAGTAAACTTTCGGAGGTGCGAGAAGAGAGGGGTTTACCAACAAATTCTACAATAGGAAATACTAGATGTCTCCCATATATGATGCTTAGCGATTTTAATTCGCGTCTTTCTCGCGCCAGACATGTTGTTGGGCATTCCTTCGGGATTCTGGCAAACAGATTCCGAATCTTAATTGCTCCAATAAATTTAAAAGTAGAGTCTGCTTGCTGTGTTTTGCACAACTTTTTTGGAACAAGCAATAACAGTGGGTTGAACTCATTGCTTTTGCAACCTATGGATCTCCGGATGTTACTGGTAGTAACAACAATCCGCGGAGAGGAGGAGCAGAAGATTTTCGACAAGAATTAATGGCATACTCTAACACCGAAGGAAAAGTTGATTGGGAGCTATAATTGTTGTTTAGCAGTATTCAATGTAATATAATTGAATTTTAATAAATATGGAGATATTTTTACTCTTTTATATTTACATAAAAATATGAAGATGCGTTTACATTTATTTCTTTTAATCGCAATTTTTAGGTAAAAATATTCTTTCTAGTAAATATGTATTATTCTATACTATATACATTATGTGTAAAATTAACATTTCAGACTATTTAAATTGATCACGTTTGTTCTTCAACTAAACTATATTCATAATATGGAAAATTTACATTTCTGACTATTTAAATTTATCACATTTTTCAAAGAACGAAATCACTTTCGTCGAAAGCACTACTCATGGCATTCTGGAGAATATCAGAAGGAGGGGCGCGTGATGACAATGCACTCTTTGATTGTTGTACTAATCGTCGCATAGAGCACTGTACCTCCCATGCAGCATCTTCTTGTAGTTCGGGAATTATTTCCTCTATTTTAGTGATTACTAAATTCCCCCGCCTATTGCGCTTTTCTTTCATACGATCCTTAAAATTAGATACGTCTTTCTTAAGTTTTTGGAATGCATTTTCTTTTTCCCGTTTTCTTCGTGCTTCTTTTCTATAGCTGCTATCAATAGTCTATAAATGGACATAAAAATATATTTAAGCCCATTTCTTTTACTTAGATATGATAAATTTACTTACTACTTGTATATCAATAACTTCTGCCGAAGTCGTGAGGGTACTAGGTGTTTCGTTTAACTGACTTAATGAATCAAATTCGGAAATAAACATCAACAAACCAGGATCCTATATAATAGTATAATATTTGTTTATATTAATACAATTATGAAATAAATGAAATGAAGTAAAAGTATTACCTCGTAAGTTGATTCTCCGCTCCTTACTTGTGTGTACGACTCCAGAAATTTTAAATCGGAGAAGTACCACAATTTTGGTGTAGAAATGTCGTCCTCCCCAAATTCGCTTTTTTAGAAGTGCGGAGTTCGCGCATTTCTCGCAAATATTGCGACCTTAAGGTTTTCCATTTTTTTTTACCTCAAAAACATTTAAATTCGGTATTTCTAAATCTTGACATATTTTATTGAAAGCCTGAGCTTTGGCATTTCGATCCAAATACATCGAAGATCTTACTTTGTAAATACATTCGTTAGATTCTACCGATTGCATCAACTTTCCAATTTGGTCTTTTGACCATTTTATTTTTTCCGTCATATCTGTCTAAATAAATCGAGGGATTAATATGCATAAAATAGAAAACTTTCGAAGCTTAATTTAAACTACTCACCTCTTTTTTAATTAATATGAATTCACATAGACCTTTTCGAAAAAAAAGTTCACTTTAACATACAAACATACTATGAACTATGCAACACGCTCTAAGTGTTGTGCTGTCGAAAATTTTGTGAAAAGGAATGCAGAAAAACTAGACTCGAGTTGCTGGTCTCTTTTTGCTCGTGTCAACGCACTTACATATAAAGCGCAGCTCTCTCTTGCACACAAGCATAAATACGTACATACAAGTCCATCTATAAGGGTTTATACCTCCTATGTACCTCAAGTAAGAACTTAAATTATATTAATAAATTAAAATTGCGGGTTGATTAAAAAAAAAATTAAAAAAAAAAAACAGTGACAGTTTAATAAGATACTGCACTATATTTTCCTATTCACCAATTCAAGAAAACTCTGAATCGGTGTTAGGAATTAAATAGAAAAAAGAAATTGACAATTTTTGGACACGACTCCAAGCAGATCATGACAGCATAGTAGAATCTGAAGATTCAGATTTACCACAAAATTTTAAATCCACATTTTACGCTATATACGAAAACTGCTTAGACCAGTACGGAGAAACAAAAGCTATGATTAGCTCCAATCAATTAAAGCTAATAAGCTTGGAGCTGCCACAAATACAAAGCCAGGAGCCAAGTTCAGTCATTCACCTCAGGGTGTCCGCATGTGACGAAGAAACATTTTATGGAGGCCGTTTACATTAACCATTCAAAAATATCACAAGCACAAACATTGTATCACCTCCGATTCAAAACAAAAGGTCAAGCAGGCGCGATAGTAAAACAGTTCGCACCAAATGACGACAATTTTAATTTGGCTTAGCAAGCTCTAAGAGCAAGATACGAAAGTGAAAGTATATTGATCGACAAACATATACGACACTAATGAACTTGCTTAAAATTCACAAACAAGTGAAGAATTTATATAACTTGACCCCACTATTTCCAATTGTTTGTCGGTTTTATCGACACAAAACCTTCTCACAGACAGCAGGGACCCATTTACAATATATGTACCGCCGCATTATCAGAAAAATCGTTACTTTTGTTGGAACAATCGCTTTGGTCGTGAAAGAAGTGCCTGCCATGTTGGGTGAGTGAAAGATTTTCTGACTACCCAATATGAAATATCGAAAAGGGTAGACAAAAACAATAGTCAGAGAAAAACATTCAATACGACCAAAATCGAAGCTTCAATAAACCCCAAGTTAGTAGCAAAAACAATTTAAACAAAAAACTTTTATAAAACGCGATCGTTCATATCCGGACAGAAAAAAAAAAAACTATGGACAAGAGGACATAAACTAAAATCTTGCGAGAAGTTTAAACAATTGAAAATTAACGAACGAACGAAATAGTATTTTCAGATCAAAATGACTATATACTAATTGCTTGTCTCATGCGCATACTCACAAAATCTCGAAAATCGCCTAGAACACCATGATGCTCGAAGGCCATAAAAACTGAAACACACTACACAGCAAAATACACAATAGGGTATTACTACCCACAGCAATTATTACCATTGAAATTACGGGAATGGGTGGTAGAGCAGTCTAAAACTCAAATGAATTCAAATTTAATCTATATTCGGTTGAATCCTAAGTGGACTAGTTACGGCTCGAGTTACCACCTTGACAACTCTAATTGAGGAAATCTCAAACGAATTCCTCAATTTACAATGAAAGAAATTTTGGGAGTTAGAAGAACTAACCCAAATTTCAATAACACCCCAAAATATCAGTATTGTAAAGACTTCTACAAAGCCACAACTTCTAGATCAAATAATGGTCGGTAAGTTTTATTATAGGTTATAGACTCAACTATTATACACTTGCAACATGTTGCTACAGAGTACAATTGGTTGTTCACCTAACGGTTGTTTGTATCACCTAAAACTAGACATATTGGGTTAGGCTATTTATATATAAATGATCAGGATGAAGAACGAGTTGAAATCCGGGGTACTGTCTGTCCATCCGTCTGTTCAAGCTGTAACTTGAGTAAAAATTGATATCTTGATGAAATTTGGTACACATGTTTCTTAGCACCATAAGAAGGTTGATATTGTAGATGGACGTAATTGAACACCTGCTATGCCCACAAAACTCCATTAATAGATGACCAATAAATTGAAAACCAATAAATTGCCCTAACTAAGCTTCACAATAAAATACAAGGCTGTTATTTAGTACATTGAATCGCATTAGGGAGAGGCAAATCAAGAAAAAACTTTAACTTCGGTTGCACCGAAGCTAATACCCTTCACAAATACAAAGGTTCCTTATAAGAACTTGATTCCGTTCCACTTTCGTGAAGATACGTCGTCAAATATAAAAGTTTAACGTGCAAGCATTTAATTCGGATTGTTCAAGTAATATGTCATCTATATACTATAGTCATCCGATCTATAAAATTTCTACGGATATTGCATTATTGTCTTAAATAATAATCCAATTCGTATTTTTGTGAAGATACATCAAATGAAAGTGTGTGGCAGCTATATGCTATAGTGGATTTGATAGCTTCTTAGTGAGGAAAAAACAGGTACACAATTTCAGATCGATAGCTTAAAAACTGAGGAACTAGTTTGTATATATACAGATAGACGGACAGACGGACGTAGCTAAATTAGCTCAGCTGATCACACTGATAATTTACATGTATATTGTGGAGGCTTTGCTTAAGATCCCTGTTCAGGGTATGAAAAATTTAAAAAGTGGGCGAGACCCCGCCGCTAATAGATTTAATGTACATATCTCCTAAACCGCCAAAGCTATAGTAAATAAATTCACTCAGGACAAATCTTTTTAGCACTCCTATCGACAGTGTGAACATAGGTGAACTCGAATCCGCACACTCCACATATAACGGTTTTGTTAAAAACTACTAAAAGTGCGATACATCTATAAATATGTATATGCAGCAGATGTATAAAGTTTTAAACCCGAGATGATACGAGAAAGCTTTTTAGGAGCCCCTGTCAAAAGTTTACGTTGGACGTGGCACCGCCCACATTTAGGTGAAATCCCATATCTTGGGATCTGCTCTACCGATTTCAACAGAATGCAGTAAGTATCATAATTTTTTTGTTACAGTCGAAAATGAGCGAAATCGGACGTGGTTCTTGTCCTTCTACTTCGCAGATAACACAGTTTAAAATTCGATCTTACTTTTTTACTTTCCTGTATACTGAAGCACCAATGAATATAACGGAATAAACATTTGTATAAATAGTACCTGTGTCACCTTATGACCAAAAATTGTCCAAATCTAATCAAAACTATTTAAGCCTCTAGGTAACGAATATGTGGACCCCAGGTCAAATTAAGAACTTCTATTAGAGAGAAACATTTTCATTTCACTTTCTTTAGTGCGCGTGTACGCCAAAAATGGGTTGAATCGAATCAATAACTCCCTTAGTCCCCATATATGTAACAGAAATATTTTTAAGATAAAGTTTTGCCAACACCTAAAGCTGTTCCCCCGGCTTTGATCCTTGCAAATTACAAGAGTATGAATTCTTCGGTTATACAAGAACATGGTGCTTCATTACTTGTTTATTTTGTTTTTAGCCAATTTTGAACAAAAAAACGTGTTTTTTTTGTTAAGTCCGGTCATTTTTAGCCCATTTGTTATGTATGGTATGTAAACACAACCGACAAGTGAGAAGTTAAAATGCTATTAGATATGGAAAAACAGTCTCGAACAATTAAGAAGCGCTTATGTCTTTAAAGTTTCGTGCGGCGTCTGAAAGCTTCTTAACTTTTCAGAGCCTCTATTGTAATTCCATGATTTTAC